ATGGGCGCTGTGTAGAATTGAGAAATAATTTCTGAGTTGTTAGAAGCCCCCACCTCTATAGGTGGTGGGTAGTTCACGAGGAAACACAACTAGCCCTCAAAAAACTTAAATCAGTGCTACCAACCGATAAGTTAAATAATATTTGATTGAGAGCATTAAAGTCAAGGTGGACGAAAGCAAATGTTTGGGTTCATGGCGATATTGCAGTTGGAAATCTCCTTGTGAAGGACGGAAAATTTGGTGGAGTTATTGACTTTGGAATGCTTGGAATCGGAGACCCAGCTTGTGATTATGCGATAGCGTGAACTTTTTTTGATAAAGAGAGCAGAAAAATTTTTTTTGAAAAAGTGGGGTGCGATAAAGATACTTGGAGCAGAGCGAGAGGGTGAGCACTTTGAAAAGCACTAATTACATATAATAAAAAAGATATGGCAAAGAATGCCAAGCATACGATTAATGCTATTTTAGAAGCTTGCTTAATAATGAATCTGTTTTCGCAGGTTCAAAAAACAATTATGAATCTGTTTTTGGAAAACGATATTTTTGCTGATTTATTTAGTGATAGTGCTAGTTCGGGGAAATTATTTAATGTTTCCGTCGTAGATTATGCCCCCACTCTCAAAAAGGCTCGGGTTTCAGTGGGTAATGTTCCCGTAGGCATTTATCGCCAAGGACCAAGGGACCAGAACAGCAGTAGGAGAAAACCGCAATCATGGCATAACCAAACAACCGAACCCGAAATTTTTAAAGTATTTCAGCAAGTTCGGCATAATGGTAATTATTACGCCTCCGTTCGGAATTTCTTTGCCAAAATGGTAATGAATTTTGGGATTAATGACTTATTTTTGTGCTTAACTATCAACAACCAACAAAAAAACCTCCAATTTCGTCGGTCTCCGTGAAACGACCAGAAATGCTTCTTTTCCGATTGTTGAAATTCCGAACATCTTTTTAAAACTGTGGACCCGTCCGTTAGTTCTTTTCTGGCCGAGAAAAGAATAATTGATATTGGATTTTGGAGTTATTTGTTGTTTTTCGCATCCTGCCGGTTCAAAGAGGCGAGTGAGGATGCCAACTCGCTTTTTTCAACCAGTTTTAGTATATATTATATTTGTTTTCATTCTGGTTTGCTCTAAATTAGTTCACATTTTGCCAAATTGGCTAATCCCACTTCTTTGATATATATCGCCGTAGTGCTTATTTTGAAATGTCCTAATTGTTGCTGTATCAGCGGCAAAGGCACGCCATTAATGGCATTGTGAGTAGCAAATGCTCGGCGTAAAGAATGGGGTTCTAGTTGAATATTTTCCGCGATATTAAGTTTTTTCTTAACTAATCGCAAAAAACGAGAATAACATTGTCGCGTAATCTTGAAGTACTTGTGAATGAACTTCTTTTAAAAAATTATTAGTTTCTTTTCTAGTAGGTAAGGAGTTAATTTGCTCGAAACAAGTTATTTTGCCTTTCTCTTTTTCGTATTTATCTCTCCTTTCGGCTAGAAAATCGTTATAGAGTATTCGACAAGTTTCCAATACTTTTACTAATTTTTCTTTTGAAAACTTTAAAAATCTTGCAGATGAAAATTTGAAAACTATAGCAGGGAATTTAGACTTCCTTCTTGATGAAGAAAAGCAAAAAAAGTTGGCAATGATATATAACTTTACACCAATTAAATGGTCCGGCATCTTTGTCCCATAAATAAAGGGTTTGGAAAGTTTTTTAGGCTAAAAATAATTAAAAAGTGGTCCACCTCTCTATTTAGTGTAGAATTGTATGTCATTGCCATAAATTATTCTTTATTTTTTTCCAATTAACCAATTGACTTAAATCAATATTAGTAGTTTGAATGCTGTCAAATCATTGATAAAATTCTAATTCTTTTTGTTGTTGGTCGGTTAACTGATAATTACCAATAAATATTTCTTGGCTAGCTCCCATTCGCTTATGACCTTGACAATTAATAAATCTTTGGGCTTTTTGGGTAAATTGTCAATAATTCTTATATAAGTCCTTAATAAAATCAGTAGCGTGGTTAGTTAACAATCAGTTTGCTCCTTTTGCTTCACATCCTTTTAAAAAAGTCAATAATTCTTGCTGGTTTCGACGAGTAAATTTATTAGCCTGGTAAGAAGTAAAACCATTGCCATTATCACTATCATAAGGAGGATCAACGAAAAGAAAATCATTTTTCTTAATCAATGGCAATAATTCTTGGTAATCTTGGTTTAAAATCTTAACTTCATTATTGTTTAAATACTCACTAATGGTTAATATATTTTCTTTGTCAAATAATTTAACTTTCTCTCTTTTGCCTCAGGGGACATTAAATTCTCCTTGGCTGTTAACTCGGTACAAACCATTATAACCAGTTTTGTTGAGATAAATAAAACGAGCTGCTATGCCTAATTCAGTTAATTTTTTGCTTTCTTGATTACGCAAAGTTTCATAAAAATTTTTGCTATGGTTTGTTTCATACTCTTTTAAAAGTTTTAAAAGTTCTTTGGGTTGTTTTTTGATTATTTGGTAAGTAATCATTAATTCTTGGTTAAGGTCATTAATAATTAATTGCTTTGGTTGGATGAAGAGGAATACGGCTCCACCACCGACAAAGGGTTCAATAAAATTATTATAGTGAGAAGGCAAAAGTAAATTAATTATTTCTAAAAATTGGGTTTTTCCACCTGCTCATTTGACGAAAGGTTTCATTTTAGTTTTTTCTGCTTGCAACTCTGTGAA